AGAGAGAGAGAGCGAGAGAGTTATATAAGAGATGAGAATCTTAGAGTTGTAAAATGAATAAAAGTCTAATTAGAACCGTCGAATCAATAATCCTTAAGTGATCTAATCCGCAAAAAAACTAAAAATAAAGAAATCTACCTACTTTATTTTATAGATATATAATAAACCGTTATCTATTAGCTACATGAAGTCCATAAGGAACATAACCCCAAATACATATAAATGTAATCAAGATATGGTATATTAGTAGGAAGTTACCTCGAACTCTTTGTTTTTGACTTCCATTTTCATAAACAGTTATATTGATTTTGAATTAGAAAACTTTCGTCAATTACAACTCAATACCCATTTAGATCACCATTTCAAATAGCTCATCAACTTCCCAGAAGCTACATGTACTGCCAAAGAGTCCAAATGCAAGAAAGACAGAGTGCGAAGCTTGTGGTCTATTCCTTTCGCAAATACAGTTAAGTTGCCTCCCTTGAGAGACGATTTTAAGCCTGTAGAGTATAATTGCAAACAATTTTCATATAAAAAGTATGTTACCATTAGGATTGGAAATTGAAGTTCACTTGACAAAAATTGGAGGCATGCAAGAGTGATGTTAGGTAGCGTGAATAAAGAAATGAAATTAAACAACAGAAATTAAAATTTGTTGATTATTGCAATAATACCATATTCAAGTCTTCAAAACCCTTTTTCAATCACGAAAAATACAAAGTTAATTGAAAAAAAAAAAGAAGAGAATTCGTCTTATTCAAAATAAAATGTTAAATCAGTTTCTCAATACAATATAAATATGAAACCCTAATAGTCCTAAATTATTAGAAAAACCAAGTAAATAGAAAATTACTTAAAAAATGTCATTAACGTCATTTTTTAGCTTCAAACGACGAATTGAAAGATCAGATCGTCGAGAATTTTCTGAAACAGGGCCATATGAAATTTTCTAATATGTCGTCTAGAATTAACCTTGATTGGCGTTTGCTGTTTTGACAGTCTTAATCTGCCATATAGTCCTATACTATTTGTGTTGGGTCAAAGAGTTTTTAGATCTTCAAAAAATGATTATTCCAACTAACTGGGGGTGAATTATATCCCGGGTGACTTCAAGAGAATTTTCCAAGTTTTCTCAACCATATCAAATTTGAAAGCATTCATTCCTCGGTTTCAACTCTAGGCTATTGACTTTGAGTTGGGTAGGCCTGACTCGACCCATTGTCGACCCAGCAGAAAAATAAGAATAAAATTGTTTAACACCGACATCTCACAAACTTTATGACAATGAGTATGTATGGGATAAAATGGTCAAAATATTGTTTTGAAACAGTCGAAATACTTGAAACGTTTCCGTTTTTAAAGAGACTGAAACGAATCAGAGATAAAATCAAAATTCTAATACTTCGGAGTGTTCCATAATGTTTCGAAATATTTTATTATACTTTAATATATTTGCACAATTATTTCAGAATGTTTTAAGATATTTTGATATATTTCAACCAATATTCTGAAAAAATAATTCTTAAATTTTTATTTTTTTTAATATGATTTTCAAAACGGGTCGAAACGTTTTCTAAATATGTCGAAACGTTTTTCGTTTTTTAGATGACCGAAACAATGCATCAAAACGAAATTTTGATCCTTAATTGGATACGATTTTTTACGATATACTTGTCACCCATGCACTATTTATTTGTACTTTATCTTAATTCTTCCCAAATTAATAAATCAGATGAAGGTAAACTACTGAAAAACCACCAAGAAGATGACTCAGCTGAGAACCCAGCTGGAATAATTTTCTGTCTAAACTTGACAACAGTCATTGGGTACTCGTCTTATTACCTTTGTTTATTGTTAATTTTAAAATGTTTTATACTATTATATTCACTCCATGTGTCATCAATTGTTATAAATACCAAGTAAACCTATCTTCAGAACACATAACTCAGAACTCTTCTTGTCCTGTGAGTATCACCAGAAACATGATGCAAACTAGGTTTCTTCAGCCATCATCATGGCCATTCCATAACATCATCAACACAACCCTTGATCAAACTGGATTTTATGGTCTTAACATGGATACCCTAGTAGTTGATGACCATGAATTCTCTTCCTTATTCACAAACACTGAGGACTCCTCTGAGATCTCCTCCGACCCAAATTTTCAAACCACCTTCTCCTCCGATGAGTATGTTCAATTGCCAATTTTGGATGATGATGAGATGCAGGTGATCACGTATCCCGGGGAGAATTTTTGCCATGATATGGCTGATTTTGAGCCTATTTCAAGTGGTGCAATTGAGGATTTGGGCATATGGTTGGATGAAAGAGATGGTGATGAGGGATATATTCCACCAGAGCTGTCTAATGAATTAGATTTATGGTCCCCTTGTCTCTCTGTGAAATCTAGTGAGGCTTCCGTGGTGCTACCATCACTAATATTACCAAGGGATGAAATGGAAATTGATATCCAGTTGGGCCTTCATCACCTACTAAAGGCTTATGGAGAAGCCATGGAGATGGGGCAGAGAGAACTTGTTAAGGTGCTCGTGAGAAGCATAAAGGAGAAAGCTAATCCGATTGGGGAAGCGCTTCAACGCGTCACATTCAACTTCTTCCAATCCACAGAAAATCAAGGTGACTACCTGAAACAGGAGTCAATTAAGAACTTTGAAGCAGCTTTCAAGGCCTTTTACCAGATGTTCCCATATGGGAGGTTTGCTCACTTTGCAGCCAACTCTGCTATCCTTGAAGCTATTCCAGATGATGCAGAGGTGATACACATAGTAGACTTTGACATTGGAGAGGGGGTTCAATATCCTCCCATGATTGAGGCCATAGTGCAGAAGCAAAAGACTTTAAGATTAACATCAATAAAATCAGAAAACGTTTCCAATTTTGCGCGGTGGAAGTTTGAAGATACAAAGAAGCGACTCTTTGATCATGCCAGACCATTTGGTCTGAAATTGCAAGTGGAAGAGACGAGTATGAAGGATTTAGTGAGTGAGATAAAGGGATCGAAGGGTGGAGAGAGAGAATGGTTGGCCTTCAATTGCATGGTTGGGCTTCCACACATGGGGAGGAGGCGTAGTATGAGTCATGTCATGGAGTTTCTGAAGATATCCAAGGAACTCTTAGCCTATTCTGCAACCAGTAAAGGAGTTGTAACTTTTGGTGATGGAGAAGCTGAGGAAAGACAGAGAAATTGCTCTGAATATGGTTCGTTCTTCGACGGGCATCTGAGGCACTACCAAGCTTTAAGTGAATCAATGGAGTGGAATTTCCCAGATTATCTTACAGAAGCAAGGATAGCCATGGAGAGTCTCTTTGTGGCACCTTATGTCTGCTCTTCTTCTTGGTTCCACAAGTGGGAGGAGACTAGAGAAGGTTTTGATCTTCAGGATGGGGCTGGATTGCAGGGTTGGAGGCTGAACAAAGAAATGTTAACTGAAGCCAGAGAAATTGTGAAGAAAGGAGAGAGTTCATATGAAATCAGGATTGAAGAACAAATTGAGAATGAGATGGTCTTGACATGGAAAGGAACTCCCTTGGTGAGAGTTTCAACATGGATGTAGAAAACAGAGAAACCCCCACCAATTGGTAGAAACTATAGGAAATCAAATCTTCTTCTAAAATCATTTTCTGTGAATATAGGTGGCATCAGCAGCATATATTCATTGTCTAATTACAAAGATTAATTATGCATATATAGTACAAAGACACTGATTTATTAAATAAGAATACAGACATGTTCTGAAATTTTTTTTTTGTGGGTCAATTTTTTTTTTCCTGTTATTTTGCAGATATTATGATTATTTGAATCAACCCAGGTCCTATAAACTGGTGACAAAAATGATTAATATCGAGTCCAGATGCAAGTCCAAAGGTCCACAGAATCAAATTCTCTTCTTTTTTTTTTTAAGGAGATTTTGAGTTCTTAGAAAAGCAAAAGAGTAGAAACAAATGGTACGCTCTCTAGAAGAGTTCTGAGTTACATAATCAATGAGATGGGAGCTTTCCATTCGTTTCTCATCAGTGATACCTTCTCCTCCACCACCGCCACCTTCATCTTCTGCCTTCAGTACTTGCCCATTTCCTTCAAGACCCTGTACTGTTTCTTCTTCATTCTCCTGACTTTCATTCTAATGGAAAGCATTCCCAGTTAAATCGCTGATAATCCCTCCTCCACCACCACTACCCCCCACATCATTCTCTGATTTGAAACCCCCACTGTCAATTTTTTCCTTCTCTTTAACTACAACAATATCAACTTTTCCTTTATTTGATTCTCCTACTTCGGGGCTTGAAGGAAAGACCACCCAGTTGGAGATGAGATTATTTATCATCCCACCTACTGTTTCCTCATCTTTTCCATCGCTGACTGAACTTGCCTTCTCTCTCTGATTTTCTTCTTCTTCTCTTCGTCCAGAGTCCAAGTCAGAGATCAAGTAGGCTATGAGCCCATTTGCCCTCTGTTCTTCACCGCCTTTACTTTCATCTCTCTCTTGCCTATGGTTTTTCTCTTCCCTTGGACTACTGTTCTTTGGAAATAGTAAGCTCTCAATTTCTGTCACACCATCCTCCATCTTAATCACTTGCAATTACTCCAAACTTGTATCCCTACTCTATCCTTTGGATTATAAAGTGGTGGCGCACGTGGTGCAAATGAAGGAGGGGGGACAAGCGTCTTCTTTGGAGAGCCCTTGGCAAAGGGGCTATGGTTTCACTCCACGTAATTCGTTGCTTTTTGCTGCTGTCCCTCTTTCTTCTCTTCATACTGCCCGACATTATCACACGTATGCATGTAGCATCTCCTTTGATGCTCTCTCTCTCTCCTCGCTTTCCAAGGTCGGTTTGGATATATTTTTTCTTCACCGTAGTGAACACTGTATGTTCTTTATTAAGGTTAATTACACCCAAGGTTATAAAACATGAAATTTGTTTCACTTTGGTCTTTAATATTTTAATTAAATTATTTTAGTTTTTAACATATTAAATATATTTTTATATAATTTCTTAAGTAAATAAGGTCTAAATTATTAATAATTTTTTATTATAAATTTATCATGTAATACTTAAATATGAATTGATAAGGATAAAATTTTGGGCATTGGCCACCAACGAGCCCGAAGCCCAATAAGCCAAGAAGAATTGGAGAAAAGGTCGGTGGCCCGACATGAAGTGCCTCTAATTAACCCATGACAAAAGAGCCGAAAGGGAGAGGCCCAACAGGCATCAAAGGGACAGTGGCCCAATCTTGGGCCAATCAGGTGCCACCTAAAGGATAATCCGAAGAGAAGGAGTCAGATCTCTACTTCGAAGTCATCCAGTCGTGCCACACGTTCAGACGACAAGGGGACCATCTCTAATACCTGCGATAGCTACATCCTCCAACACGTAGAAAGATGGTGGAGCATAATGCCCCAAAGATCGTAGGTGCAGTGGCGCCGGCTGAAAGAGGTTTTTGCGGGCCAATGATAGGAGGCTCTTACAGGATCGGTAAAAGGTAGAAGATACCGCTAGAAACTACAAAGACAGACGACCCATATATAAATAGAACAGTACCTTACAAAAAGGGCATCTTCGGAGAACGTAGAAGGAACCGTGTCCACTCTATAAGCAAAACATTAACCCCTGTAAAGACTTAGCGCCTGAATCCTGTCTGTATACGTGGAAGCTTTAATATACAGCATTAAGAAGTAAGAGTCTATTACAGTGAATGTACCATCGGTATTTTGACTAAGACGAATCACTTAACTTCTTCATTTTCTCTTTGATTAGACAGTCCACTCTATCAAACCTGCTCTAACGCCAGACCCAATAACCTTGCATACATTGGGTTTGGACTGTAATTTCTGAGACCCCATCATGAATAAAAAATAATTTAAATAACTTTTAACCAAATTTTTACCCCCATTTTGGTCAAAGAGATATCTAAATTATACAATTTTGATTATGATCTATTCAAATTTTGGTCAAAAACTACCTATATTACATAAAAAATATTTTTTTTATAATAAAAAATTATTAGTAATTTGAATGTTATCTACTTGAAAGATTACATAAAAATATATTCAATACTTCAATAACCAAAATGTTACAATTGAAATATTCGGAACCAACTAAGACAAACTTTATACTTTGAAGAGCTCTTATGCAATTAATTAAAATAAATAATAATTTGCCAGCGAACCGAAACTAGAAACACTCCCACCCCTTGTTTCCTTGTCCATGCCCTTAAAATTGCACTTCCTTGACCAAAAAATATCAGTAATTCTCTATTCACAATCCACCCTCCGACGGATATAAAAGATGTATATTTTTGTATCTGCATCAGTCCGACGGCATCCCCACTTAGTGATCGATTCGCTAGTTCGCGCAAATTCGAAGAAATTATCACGGACGAGCCACATGCCGGGAAACTTGCACGTGTGGTTCTAGCCGGGCTTTCTAGAGATATCTAATAACTTGCTTTTGCTCGTCACCCGCACCTCTCCTAACTATTGCCCATTTATTTTGGAATAATCTTTTTAGGAGGGACAATACACAAGCCTAACTGCACTACATTCCACTAAAGATAAGCAATTGCAAGATTGAAGAACCAGAAATCATAACTAAATTAAAAAACATTAGTGTTATGTCCCAAAGAAGAAGAAAACCTGAAGAAACAATGGCGCTTCAGGGAATTGTGATTCCATTTACACAATTAAGGGGCAGCTATGGATCATTTTGAACTCGGCCATATAACGCCATCTCCTCCTCAGCCTTCTTCTGTGCAGCTCTCTTCGCCTTCCTTTTGGCTTCTCTTGCAGCAGCATCAGCTTGGACTTTCTCCATTACAGTACTGAAACCAGGAATTGTTTTCTCCAGTTGGCTGTACACTTGAACACTGAGATTGTGGAAAATCTCAAACAACTTCTGCACAACGCCCGCAGACAAAAAAGCCATGTAAGTTTTTAAATAAGGCATAAGCACTAACTATTCCTTAAGAAGCACAATTAAGCATACTCTGAACAGTTTCAAGATTTAACATGCAACAAACTGATATTTGAATCTCCTTGCTGAATGGGCATGATCACATAAGCCCATTCAGCAGTCAAACACAACGAATAAGGTATTTTCAGAAGACTGAGTGAATTAACTTAAAACTGTTCTGTTTCGTATCATTTTGGGAGAAATTCGCTTGAAAATAGAATTAATATAAGAAAGACGAAAGCTAAATGTAAAAACGAGAAATGATGATTACCAGAACATCAGTATTCCACTCGTCGATGTAGGGAGGACCAGTTGTGTATGAACCAAGAGGTTCACGGTACCACTCGCCACCGTATGTTATCTGATCCATGGCTTGTTCGACACTTAAAACCTCCCATGGCCTCAACCCAGGAATAGCCTTAGCCAATTGGATCCTGTCTCATAGAAGCAACCAAAAAATAAACTGATTACGGTCAACGCACAAGCATTACTGTCTCAAAGGAAAGTGGATGATTGTAAAAAAGCAAGAGCCACAGACAAATCAATAGATCAGGAAGATAAACATGTTAAGAACCACAGAATAATATAAAACAGACGGATGGAAAAATGTCTTTGAACCTCAGCCATTACAGGGGTCAAATCAATATCACAGCACAGTTTCTCTTCTCTCTATTCCCAACAGAAGTTATAACATCAAGAAATTCTCCATCCTCAACCTATTTAGGTGTTACTGATTGACAAGGGTAAGCACTCAAATTTTCATTTCCGTCACCGCAAAGTTGCTTCATCCATATGCTGAAGTATAAAGGCTCCTTTGCAAATTGATGCAACAGAGATGGGTCGAGACTAAGAGAGAAAACTGTATGTTCTCCATTTCCATATGCTAAGAACAAGTTTCCCAAAAAGCATCAGATCAATTGGGATTTGAACATACAGGCTGAAAAGCATTTGCAGCTTTTCACATATTAGCTAGACTAATAACCAAAAACTCTTTTCTTCTTTTTGCATTTTTTGTTGTTTTGCTTCTCCTGACAACTTATAAATACTTGCAACTCTAAAGATAATGAGCATTAGGTGTGCAAGTAAAGAAAAGACATTCTCGATGATTTTGAGCCAGTGCAGTGAGTCATACCAACACTATAACATATACCACACACTGATTATAGTGTTCCATCAATCATGACACGGTAATCATTAGTATTTGCCACCTTTTTCAGGTTTCAGTCAATAATTTAACCAAATAGAGCTTCCCAACTTTGACCAACCATAGCTTCATACTTTAAACTTTGATTTCTTTTGTAATCAGTCCGTGTTCTTGTTAACTGCTCTTCCTTGTTTCTTGTATAGAGAATTGACAAATAAAGATGAATCAGTACATGAAGACACTGAAATTATGTCTCTAGGACATGAATTGGCGTACTCGTGCCAGATTGCTCCATTAATTCAAAATATTGGATGAGTATTTTTGATATACAATACTCTAAGATAAAGTACTTCAACAATTACTAAACTAATGCAAAAAGGAAGCAGGATTGACAGGTTATAAATGTGATCAGTTAACTAGCTACATGTATGTATGCTATTCTCTATATACATCCTTAATTTCACCAAGATCAAAACATATAGTTTGTATGACCATAGGCCGGAATAAACTAATTATGTCACTGTCTACATTAGGTGCATCCCATTTGCCACATTTAGAACACTGTACTTTTGCCCCATCCCGACATCTTCCCACAGCCTCTCTTCAATTTAAACAGCACACTGTCTCTATCAATGCCTGAATAGATATCCCATTAAACAACATTCAAAATACACACCCGGATCCTTCATTCTATCCTGCTGGTCAAACTAATCGGGCTGCGTCATTTTGCAAAATGAACAGTGACAACTAATTTAGCATCCACACAGGCAGCTAGGCAAGTACGTTGAGAATTGGGAGTTGTCAAATACATAATGCATAAAAGTGACACACAGATCAAAAAATCATAATTAAAAGTGAAGATACATTGTGGTTCAGACTCTACACACAATAATAATCACAGTATGTTCCAAAAGTTTTTTTAAAGGCCACACTAGGACAACAAACAAGAAAAACAACACAATTACGGTACTTTTACCATAGAAGATATTCCATCATAAAACTAAGAATAATTTCCCAAACTTTCTGGTAGAAATATAACTCCTGCACAACTGTATTAAAATAGGCAAAAAAAAAAACAATAAGGAAAGTTAAAAGATTGCAGTGTTACCTAAGATCTTTTGGAATGTATTTGTTGGGCATGTGATCAGCTTCCAAAATTGATGTAAGCTCAGATCCACTAGCCCAAAGAAACAGGGTATGACTAGGAATCCTTACACCAGGCCAAATACCACCATTAGCTTCTAGCACAGCTAAATCACGCCTCTTGCTTTCATAAGCTTCTTCTTGGAGCTGCTTATAGGTTTTGTTCTCATGCCCCTTGGTAGGAACCCAAGGAGGGATACCTTTCTGTAGTTTGTGAAGGAATGCTGTGGCTGAGGCACCTAGTCTAACTGGATATAGACCAGAAATAACCCNTTCAAAATATTGGATGAGTATTTTTGATATACAATACTCTAAGATAAAGTACTTCAACAATTACTAAACTAATGCAAAAAGGAAGCAGGATTGACAGGTTATAAATGTGATCAGTTAACTAGCTACATGTATGTATGCTATTCTCTATATACATCCTTAATTTCACCAAGATCAAAACATATAGTTTGTATGACCATAGGCCGGAATAAACTAATTATGTCACTGTCTACATTAGGTGCATCCCATTTGCCACATTTAGAACACTGTACTTTTGCCCCATCCCGACATCTTCCCACAGCCTCTCTTCAATTTAAACAGCACACTGTCTCTATCAATGCCTGAATAGATATCCCATTAAACAACATTCAAAATACACACCCGGATCCTTCATTCTATCCTGCTGGTCAAACTAATCGGGCTGCGTCATTTTGCAAAATGAACAGTGACAACTAATTTAGCATCCACACAGGCAGCTAGGCAAGTACGTTGAGAATTGGGAGTTGTCAAATACATAATGCATAAAAGTGACACACAGATCAAAAAATCATAATTAAAAGTGAAGATACATTGTGGTTCAGACTCTACACACAATAATAATCACAGTATGTTCCAAAAGTTTTTTTAAAGGCCACACTAGGACAACAAACAAGAAAAACAACACAATTACGGTACTTTTACCATAGAAGATATTCCATCATAAAACTAAGAATAATTTCCCAAACTTTCTGGTAGAAATATAACTCCTGCACAACTGTATTAAAATAGGCAAAAAAAAAAACAATAAGGAAAGTTAAAAGATTGCAGTGTTACCTAAGATCTTTTGGAATGTATTTGTTGGGCATGTGATCAGCTTCCAAAATTGATGTAAGCTCAGATCCACTAGCCCAAAGAAACAGGGTATGACTAGGAATCCTTACACCAGGCCAAATACCACCATTAGCTTCTAGCACAGCTAAATCACGCCTCTTGCTTTCATAAGCTTCTTCTTGGAGCTGCTTATAGGTTTTGTTCTCATGCCCCTTGGTAGGAACCCAAGGAGGGATACCTTTCTGTAGTTTGTGAAGGAATGCTGTGGCTGAGGCACCTAGTCTAACTGGATATAGACCAGAAATAACCCAGGTATCAAAGAGTCTGCCGTATGACATCATACATTTGAGTGATGCATCAGATAGTAACCGGCAAAGAAATGTGCAAAGAAATGGACAAGGGCAGGCATAGCACAAAATTGAAATCGTGTAGTTATCTACTGAGTCAGAAAATCTCCATGTCTAAACTTGTTTCTCAAAAATCCCCATTTGTTCTATGGAGCTTATACAAAGTAATGGATCAAATGGGTGGGATTACATGATCAGATTGACAGATATCCCCCTGTCATATGAGTGCCACAGATGACCAGGGCATAAGTAGTTTGAATACATTTCTTAGAGTCCACTAAGTGGGTTCGTTTTCACTTCCAAAACAGAAATTAGAGTACGAGATCTACATTCAACCTATAGAAATCGTTCTAGTATCCAACTATTGACGAAGATATTTCACAAACCTTCCCAAGTGGCAATTGCGCGTTCCATGCCGTAAATCATTCCAATTGGTGCCCATTCATCCATGTCCTCGGCCCATATGAATGTGTGCTTATCAATGATTCCACCACCCCAAGCAGTCTTCAGTTGTATTAGTTCCATTGGTCCCCTCGTACGACCTATCCGATCTTTGTAGAACCACCCACTACTCTTCATGATATCTAGAAGATCATTATACAACCTCAATATAAGAGAATCGCAAAAACAAATACTGAAATCAGAGTATTATGAGGCAATATATAGTATATCTGCTTCTCCACAACAAGCAACAAAAGTGCAGAAAGTAAAAATTGCATAAACTCAAAAAACAACAACTACATATTAAATTTCAAACTTGAAACAAACCACTTGCATTTCAAATGTTGTAGCAATATAACTTCTTTCCCTAGGACTGAAATTTCAGCAGCTAGTATTTCTGCAGTGAGTTTTTCTAAGAAATGCAGAAACAAATTACAGCAGTTCAAAGCATGAAAAAAGAACATATTTCCACTTACATTCAAATCCAACTGAGCAAAGACACATAAACACATTACAATACAAAATCCAACAAAACCATAGACCCAGACCAGACATACCATAAGCAAATTCTCTGAAAACACACTCACAAGTGCACATGCGCACGCATATGTGACCACACAATTCAAACCCACAACTTCAAACAACAAACGAATTCACAAAAAGTTCCACTGCAAACTTACAATCATAGTAACGCTTCTCGAGCCGCTTGTACCCTATAGCCTGAGACACATCAATGGGTCTCCCTGGTGGATAAGGCCGTTGCCGGAACCCCCAAAGCCCAAAAAAGAACTGTCTTGCAAAATCCCAGAACTTATCATCAGACTCTCTCTTCGACCTTATTGCCTTCCTTGGCATCGGCCTACCATCCAACCCAATCACATTTGGCAATGCCTACCCAATTGAAAAAACATAGAAAAATTAAAACATTTCATTAGAATCTCATAATTATCTCATAAAGGTCGCAAATATTTAGCTCAATGCCTTCCACCACTTCAAAAGAAAAGACAAATAGAAAGAAAACGATATATTATATTGCGGATTTCACGAAACTCTGAGTTCAATACCCTCCACAACTTCTTATCTTCTCTTCGATACGGACTCGAATTTTCTTCAAGCTCTAGCTTATTAAGCTTATCAGCAATCTCCTCGGCTCGAGTCAAGAACTGAACAACCGGACTGGAACGAAAGTCGGCCCACCATTTCTCATTCTCTTCAATCTCTTCTGGAGTTGGATTCTTCTTCTTCTCGAAAACCGGGTCGTCATTCAAAATATTCTCCACTTCTGGGGCGTGACGATAATCGGGTAAGTTTTCACATTCAAAGTAGAACTGGTCCAGCATCTGACGATACTTTCCGGGTTTTTGAGGGTCATTTTTGGATTTTTTGGGGGTTTTGTTGAGCAGATTTGATGTGAGTGAAGCGAACTTCGAGGCTTGTGATTGGGGTTTGCAGGGGTTTACCGAGTCGAAGAGTGAGAGAAGGTTGATAGGTTGAAATGGGTTAGGGGGTTTTTGGAACCAGTTTTCGTTGAAGGGGTTGAAGTTGATAGAAGACATTAATGGAAACTAGGATAAGGGGTTAGAGATTTTGTCTTTGATAAGGTTGATACCAATGGAGAACAAGCGTCGACTCTGTACCGGAACCGTTAAGAGAGAGAGAGTACTGGAGAGATTATACTGATTGGGCTTTTGTTCTTAGGGAGAGTTTAGCCCACAATTGAGTGGGCCACGCAGAAACTAGTCCCAAACATTGAGGGAAGAACATTTTTGGTGTCGGATCTTAAAGAGATCGTATCAAAAAGTAATCCACTTGTCTAATGAGTCGTGCATATCGAATTTTTGTAGTGTATTTTTTTTAATTGATTTTACATATACTTAATTCGTTTATCAACCGTGTTGTATTGAGTCCACTTATTTACAAAACAAGTGTGTTAAAGAAAACACAAACTTTTTAATTTTATATCGTGTTATATTTTGACAATTCTAACCATATATAAGATAGGCACTATCTTGCTGCTATCTAAGCTATAATCAGACCCTAACCATATCAAACTGTGTTATCTTTTGGGCCTTGACAAAGACCCTTAACGGGGTTTAAGGGCCGTTGAACCACACAACCCAATGATAATTCAAGTTGGAAGCTAAATGAGAATAGATAATCGCCAATCATAGTTACCAATCTATCTGCTCTGTGATTATAAGGGAATAAGTATTAGACAAATTGTGGTAGCTAAAGCAATAAATTGGAGCACAAGTTTTGATGGCTTTCTGACAAAGTCAAGAGTAAAGCCATCTAAGAGAAAAAGAGAAGGTCAAAAAGCTTGTTAAAAAGAACAAAATTGGATAAAAAAAACCATAAAAAGTGTCACTGTAATGCATTGGGGACATTGTTCTCACATCATTAAAGATAAAACTGTTTCCACCTAAGAAAAAAGTAAAGATCCCACAGTACATATACAAACACTATAAGGAAAAGCTCATTACATGGTTATGAGAAATGGCTTCTCATAAGCAAGTCTCTGTATTCATACTTTCATCATGTGTGTTGTTGGGCCTTTGTATGGTATCTCAGTCTCAAGCTTCTTCAAGTGATGGTGCTGTTAACAAGGTTAAGGCTTCATCACAGACTTATGATTCCGGTGATAAGGTTAATCTGTTGCTGTACTATGAAGCTCTGTGCCCATTCTGTGCCAACTTTATTGTGAATCAATTGGTGAAGATCTTCCAAACAGATCTCATCTCCATTGTAAATCTCAGGCTGGTCCCTTGGGGTAACACTGTAATTGCAGCTAACAACAGTTGGCTTTGCCAGGTCTGGTCTGACTTATTTCCAATTCCTGCATCATCTATCATCGTCTATTTGTGCTATGTTTTGCAACTCTTTTGCCGACAGTTCTTTCTCACATCATGTTCATAGTCTTCTTTTATTTTTATTTTATTTTTTGAATGTTTTAGGAATTTTTTGTATCTTAATTTAGCTTATGTGTATGACATTTGCTTCGAAGACCTGTTTTCGGACATACGACTGTAATGGCAAAATTCGCAATCAAATTCAGTTTTCTTACCTTTGTTCTTACAATTCTGTTTGTTTACCACTTATTAAGGTTGTAAATTTTTCCTATGTATTTTGTAAGCATTTCTTATAATCATTGTAATCTGAGCCTAATGCTTTTTTTAAATTTTTTTGACAATAAATGCAGCATGGCCCGGATGAGTGCTTGCTAAACACAGTAGATGCCTGTGCCATTAATGTCTGGCCCAATCTGGTGAGGCAGGCTCTCTCACACACACACACACTTCTTTATCTCACATAATGGTACCAAAGCTGGTATTCAGCAGCTGCTGATGCATATCATGACTTGGATCATTAAATTACCAACTGAAATCTAATGATCATTAAAACCAATTTGTCTTATAATTTTAGGGATAATTGTGGTGCAGGGTACTCATTTCAAGTTCATTCAATGTATAGAGCATCTACATTTGGAGAACAGGCATACTCGGTGGCAATCTTGTTTTGGTACACTAAGCCTGAGCCCAACACCCATTAGGAATTGCATCAGCAGTGGATTAGGAATTCGGGTCAGATTTTTGCATGCTAAATTGTTGTGGCCATCTTGAAGTTGGAATAAACTTGTCCATTATAACTATATCGATGTTCTGTTTTAGCATTCGAGATTGATAAACTGAAGTAGTTTGAGGCTGAGGATTTCTGACTCTTATCTGCAGTTAGTGATGAAATAAATGGCTTATTACTCTCATGTTTTTTGATTTGTGTTTGGTAAAATGTGCAGCTTGAAGCAAAATATGCTGACGAAACTGCTCATCTAAATCCTCCTCATAAATATGTACCATGGGTGCTTGTCAATAATCTACCTCTACAAGATGTTTGTCTCTCTCTCTCTCTCTCCCCCCCCCCCCCCCCAAAAAAAAAAAAAAAAAAAAAAAAAAAAACTGTTGG